GGGTTATGCATATGATCCTTTTATATTTATGTGACTGTGTTGCTGCTCCTGGTAATTGTCATTCACACCTCTGTGAGAGCAGCTTTATTGTACGTAAATAGAAGGAAAATAGCTGAAAAAAGCTACATTTGCTTCTTACAAGGAAACATCTTTTTCAAGGATGTTCCTGTATTTTGAGTCTGAGTAAGACACCCCTGTAAGTGCAAACAAAAGGGACAAAAAAAGACAAAATAATAAAATTGCTGTCATTCGTCTTTAGACACAGAGTAAGCATTTTAACTGTTTACCGGTTCTAACAAGATTAAACTTTACTAAATTTCACTCTTACAAAAAGTCTTAAACATAATAATTTGGTGCTTTAGACAAAAACTCAAAAAAAACAAATGTTCTAAGGCAAGGCATATGTGACAGAAATGCATCTTACAAGTTTTTTTTTCTTTTTCTTCTTTGAAACAAAGTAAAAGTAGATTTGTAAAGAAAAAAAAGGACGCACAGATAAAAATGATTTTCCTTTTACTTCTGAAAACAAAAGCAGATAATCCATAAGTTCCTTTTGTCACATTTTTATCTCCCATTGCATTCTAACAACTTTTTCCTGCAGGCTGTTCCCCTTTCAAAGAATGAAAATCTTATCGAAGACAAAAAAAAAATAAAAAGCCACACAAGAGTAAAATAACAAAGGCAAAGCATCGTAACTCCCTCAGGCTTTTGATAAAACAAGAGTGGCTTCTGATTGTCAGCACATATTTACAGCAGATGCTTCCTGCAATTCATTTCAGCTTAATTTCATCCATCAATGCTCATCATATCATCTTCATTTCTCCTCCTTGCAGTGAAAATATAAAAAGCAGAAAGGAAAAGCAAAGCGCAGAAAATAATTTGAAAACAGTTTGACAGACAGGTGTTACTAAAGCATCAAACACAAGAAGCTGAGTTATGTTCAATTTCTGGTGTTTGATCCCATTCATATTGACAATATACACTGTAAAATCAGTTAGTTATCATTACTTAAAAAGCTTGTAAACCGATAGCACTTAAAATACTGAGTACGCTGAACTCGTGAATAAACACTGAGTGTAATCAGTTTACAAGCTTTTTTAAGTAATGATAACTAACTGATTTTACAATGTATAATATACATTTCATAAGCATAGGGACAAAGTATGAGATGTTTTTAATTTATCCTCAACAATCCTCATGTTGGCTTTTCTTTCCTTTTTTTTTCTTTCTAAGGGTAGTGCCTCTTATGGTTGCAGGACCTGGGCACCTGTTCTCCCATGTTTGTTTTTGTTTGTCTCTCTCTTGGATGGGTTGTTCGAAACTGTATTTCATGGTGCTTAATTGTGCAATGATAATTAAAGTAAGCTGAATCGGAATAAAAGCAAGTAGATGTATAGGTTGGTACCAGTTTGTTGAGCCAATGCATTTGTGAGTTGAGCAGCAGAGCTAARTGAGTGATTTGGACCCATGAAAAAACTGTCAAAATCTTCCCTGCTACTGCCACACAGCTTATTCTGCTGAGGACTAATATTCTGAGCTTCTGTTAATCAGGTACCCGATTGGCACCTGGTTGTCAGTCAGTGGTGATACAACCGGTTATGGTCCCATATTTTCACAGTTCGAATCCAAACTATATTCTCTGAGCTAAAAATGAATGTCCCCACACAACAAGGTTCACCAAATTTTTACACATCCGTCCACATGCACGGTGTTCAAATTTTATGTGGGTACTGCCTTCCTGTCTGAAGTTATGACAAACAATGATGCTTATATTTCAAGTTATAGGTGCTTTCTGGCCATTGTGAATGAGTTACCCATTCCCTCCAAGTGCCCAGCATTGATCAAACTGACTCTTCCCAAAATATTCAATCTCATCATCAATCAGATCTTTACTGAAACCKTTAGACAATAGTCCATCAGACCAATCATGTCTTTGACAAACTCCTCCCACACACTAACAGTGATTGCAGAGAACCACTTCTCCATCAAACACCAATTTTCTTTTCTTTTTGTTTCATGAGGTTCGCGTTGCAAACTGCATTTAAAAAAATCATAAGAATATTTAAGGAATTCATAGACAGTTGACAGACAAATCTAATAACTATGAGGCTTTAAGCAATAGAATACATTTGAATAATGTAATCAATAAAAAAAGCTGGTAAGCCACAGCTTTTTTTTATATCTGGCAGCTGCTGCATGATACAGTTTATTATTTAAATACAAACAATGTACTCAATATCATGATAGAACAGCCACCACAACCAAAAACAGGCTGATTGAATGAGATTTAATGTGAGAACAAACACATTAAACAAGGTTAAAATAAATCTAATGTATCTGCAAATCTGAGCGCTTTAACCATCCATCTAAAGCAGYATCAGCAGCTCTGCTTTATATTTGATTTGAATCAGCAGCATCTATGATTTGAGTATGTGAAGTGTAGTTTTCAGGCAGTCAATGCAATGTTTCAGAGAAAATCTGGACCAGTTTTACATTACAGCTCTAACACCATGTCAAAGTGTGGACTTTGCCATCTATCAAATCAAATAAACACTCAGATGGTTACAGTTTCAGGAAGGTAATATACAGTATCATGTCCACCTAGACAATAGAAAAAGAAATTTGGSCATTGATCTGATAAACACACCCAGGAGTGTGTGAAATGATGCTGGAGGCACCGAAGTGAAGTTTCAGGTTGCCTGTAAGATTTGATATGACTCTCGAATTCATTCAATAATCTTTCTGACGGCTACCTTTCAACCGCAGCTCATGAACACAGAGTCTAATCCTTTCACCGTTTCAGTGAGCTGCACACTGTCAGTCAGAATAACAAACATTTGGCCCAGTTGTGCCAAAAATAGAGCAACTTCTTAGTTACAGAAGTTGAGGATTGTCAAAGGAGGATGAGAAGAAA